TTCTGCCCGGGGGCGGCCAACGCTACGATTGGTAATTCGGAGCTATTCTATATATTATACTGCTTTAACTTCGGAACTTTGTTAGCGCAATAAAAGCTGAACGCACATTTATCCGCGCCGTACGCGCCGAATTTTACTGATGGCCTCGCACACTTGCACGTATGCACCGTCCGCAAATCTTTTGGATTGCCAACAACTCTTGCAGTTTTTTCCAACCACTGCACTGGTGTGAAACGGTACATTAGATAGATTAGATTGAAGGCATTATCGCTCGGAATCACTATGGAAAAATATTGTAATAGCCTGGTTATTGGCAGAGGAAGTAGAAAACAAAATTCGAAGAAAAAGAAGATTCTGGATTCATAGTATTAATTTAAAAAGGCAATTGTATGGAGTGTATTATACTTTATTTAAAGACTTGTTATATGATGAACGATCTTTTAGATATTTGACAACCACGCACCGAACCGATGTATCAAGCTTGCGTGTCTGTATCGTGAGAGATTCGAAGTAATTTTGTCACTCCAAAATGCGATGTGTAAGAAAAAGAACTGATGCAGCTCTTGTGGTATTATTTAGTCATTAGGTGCTTAAATAAAAACAAAGTAATCGTTTCATAACTTTGACTCTATGCACTATTTTCTGCCGACTTCCAAAAAGGAGACAGTACTCAATTCGACTGTATGTTTTTTTTTAATGTGTGTTACCTCATAACTTTTCACTGGGTGAACCGATTTGGATGATTCTTTTTTTATTTGAAAGGTGGTACTTCTTGTGTGGTCCCATATGAATTTGATCAAGGTCAGACCAATAGTTTTTGAGTTATTCTTAATAATTCATATTGAAGTCGGCCGTACAAAATTTATAATTATTACTTTTTTACGTTAATTTTATATTTTTTGTGATATATTATGATATTTAACATAATTTCCATTTATTACATTTTTTTTTTATTTATTTTACTTTTGTATTCCTATTATTGGTAGAAAATGCCTCAATCATGTGTACACTTTGAAATAAATCATCTTAAGGAAAAGATGGGGGAGGAAGAAAATGTATAGAACCATAAACGACCAAGTACCTCAACTCCCTGTAGTGACGGGATAAACTCATTTACGTGTGGCCTGTTTTTTTACGTGTGTTGCAAGATTACTATCGGTACGTGATAAGACAATAAGTTGCCTGATAAGTTCATACTAGTGGATTAAGCAAGAATAAAAAGATAAGTAACATCCTGCATGCAAGCAGAACATATCGTCTATCGCTCATTTTTATGGGGCATGGTCTCAACCATGAATCCGAGAGCCATATTTTAAATTTTTCTGTCGGCAAGATGGCCTACTAATGCCGGGTTTCTATATTTAAAAACGTTTCGTTTTTTAAATATATTTAGTCTCCGAACATATTGAAATAAATAATCAAATACTACCTCATTCGTCCATTTCCTTCCTAATATACCTACCCAAACAAGAAAACTCCACTATTCGTATGCTCGGTTAAGAATCTAAATGCAGATGTGATTATATATTTTTTTATATTTGAAATCAATGGCTAACACCAAAATATTGCCTTATGTTTTTGTTCAGGCGTTACTCTAAAAAATACAAAATTCGTAAATGCATGTAACTAAATGACGATACAATAGTTATGGGATGTATCTAAGTGACCTTTATCCGAACCTTAAATGTGAATAGCGTTTATTGGTTTCGGTGCGAGAAGTTATCGAATCCGAGCCGATTTCGATTTCTTTCCGAGACGATTGTGAATAGCCCGGCTGCATTAAGCTGCTATTTTACGTTGGCATTCTGATTGCGGTTCTTCTACCTCGGTCGAACAAACCCATTCGTGCTACAACTACAATACAGCTGTAACATGGCTCTACCACGTCTAGCTCGCGGATGACCACGGTCTGCTCGCACCGCGTCTCTGAATTACTTCGCGGCCGACCAGACTCACTGCTACGGACATGCTTGAGCTACGCTCCGCGGACCAAGCCCTTTTCACGATGCGCCTGGTGCGGGCTTATTGGAGTCAGTCCGCAACTTGTCGCGCCGTGGGAAGCCACCTTTACGCAACGAAATAGTAACAATGTGGCAACAATCTAGAGCATAATGTGTTTTATAGGGAGTTCTAAGAATAACAAAAAAAAAAGATAAAGCCATTACTAGTAACGAGTTATATAACCCTTGAGTACTAATCATCGCCTGTGTGGCCATCCGCTCTGGATTTCTTTTTATTTTCAAATAGGGTAGGGATGTAACGAACGTTCGCGCTAAATAGTGCACTGCGGAACGTAGTTTAAGAGCTAATGAGTGGTATATTTACGGTATTTCAATATGCTTCACGTTTTTTTCAGTTCATCCCCTATACCTGAGGTAAATGAAATGGAGACTTTAGTTTGACCGGCGGTTGATATAGAGACGCCCAGGTGTGAAAGGTGTAAAAAATGACCGAAAAATGAAATGAATGTAATAAGTCTGCCGCTTTGAGGTCTTTAAATATTCAATAAAAGTTACTGCAATTTATGTTGTTGATAATATTATTTGACATATATATTTTGCATGGCTGACACATATTGAGGTTCTATCACCCAGGCGGACAATGAACTTCCGTAGCGTCCATCTAGTCTTTAGATTAAATTAAAATTTCTATTTTAATTGTTTTCAACTGTTCTTTAGTATTTGTAGTCATCATCATTATCATTACAGCCATTCACAAGTCCACTGCTGAACATAAGCCTCCAGAAGAATTCCACAAAGCACGGTCCTGAGTCACCTGCATTCATCGACTTCCCTGCATGTCTTTCAAAGTTGATGGAGTGACATCGAGTGGAGGGGGGGGGGGGGGGGTTCCCTGCACTTCGCCTACCGGTACGAGGCTACCAAACGAGAATCTTTCTTCCCTATCGGTTATCGGTTCTTCGAGCTATAGGGCCGGCCCATTGCCACTTCAGCTTACTAATCCGGTGGGCTGTCGATTTCACGGGTTTTACTCCGGATATCCTCATTTCTAGTTTATCTATCTATCTTTATTTATATATATATATATATCGGAAGACGGCTCATCCGATATGAATCAGTCGATTGACCTCTCGGTCGAAGTTGGACGTACCGAGTCGGACTTTGTCCCAGCTAAACATACTCGTCAACAAATTCAAGCTTAGTGCTCCTAACAACTACCGGCATAAGTCTGACATAGACGTCACACAAAATCTATGGTTTGTCCAAGTTGGGAGGCACTATAGAGGTCACTGAGCATTGTTTAGGTCTTCCAGCGATTCTGCCATAAGGACTATATCTAGGGGATTAACTGAAAAAAACGTTAAGCTCATTGATATACCGTAAGTCTGCCGCTCACTGTCTCTTAGACGAACGTGTTTGACAGTGAAGATACATTCGTTAGGTCAGGAACACTATCAGTTCGACGCCTAAGAGGCGATCAGTATTAGATATATCATAAATATATACCTTATATAATGCCATGCCATGCTGTGAACTCAACAATTCAATCAATTCACAGTTCACAAATGGTCGGAGTCTTTCCTGCCTAAGAGTCAGTCTGGGTAGGTACCAATCACCCTCATACCTATTTCTGCAGCCAAACAGCTCTGACTACACTGCTCTGTTCCGGTCCAAGTATAATTATTACAGCTGCAAGGGTATTCATCTTAATTCTCAAGGAACAACGCATCTGTAAACTTTTTGTTTGAAGTTGGTAGCATATGTCCATAAACTGCAGCGTTTGTCATTTCAATTTTATAAAAAAAAACTACATACCTATTTCTAATTTTATCGCAGAAGCATTCATCTGGCAAGGATGGGTCAGAAACAAATGTCTCTTACAGAGCATTTTACGCAGTTGGACCTTATTTGATCAAAGTCTGACCAGTAGTTTTTGAGTTATCTTTAAAAAATTTTATTGAAGTCTATAACTAAAAATCTTTTAATCTATTATTAGATTGTTCATAGCAAATTGGGGAAATTATAATTATTTTCCACTTCCTCTTATTATATTATATTCATTTTTCTCACTTATCTGTTATACTATTATTAATACGCCAAGGCCTTATACAAAATATCAGATTCATTTTTAAAGACTGTTGAAGAATCTTTTGGTGTATGATTTAAATGGGTTATCCCGTCTATCCTCCCTAAAACAGCCTCCTAAGGTAAAATAAGTTATATTCATTATTATCAGTGCAATAAGGTAGTATACATCTCAGGGTGAATAAACGGAATAACCTATTGAAATTAAAATCTCACAAATTATTTTTGCCCAGTCAAATATTCGAACTTTTAACTAATTAAGGATTTAGGTAACCGCATGCTTGATTTCAATCACCTGTATGTGAAGCACTATGAAAAAATGGTGTCCTTTAAAGAGTTTATGATATAAAGGCTTTCATAAATTCCATTTGTAGCATTTCCAGACATGCCAGTTTTTTGACACCACCTTTACAACAAACAAAGTCAAGAAAATAAGCAAAAATAAATTTATAGTGAATTTTAACTACTAATGAACAAAAAAAGAAAATGTAAAATGCTCAGAAACATTGGTTTGTATCATTTAATCGCCCTAAAAATGTACAATACAGATGCCGACATTCCCAAACAGCTAACTGAGTATGAAGTCGATGACAATTACACGCATATTACGTAATTACTGGCTTACATTATTATCACCGGCTTTTAAACAATTATACTGCGAGATTATCCATAACATGATTTCAAGTAATAAGTCTACATTAATCAGGAATAGGAATAATTGTAGTGTTGATCAAATGTTTTACATATAACATTTTATTTGCAGATTTTTATACTACATAAATAATAAATTGCATTCCTGATGTCGCACTGGTAAGTGTAACACTATTACACAGTCCTTACACCACTATGAGGGTGAGGTTTCCACACAGTCGATTCCATGGCCGTCCACTCCAGATAGTATACACTGAAACCTCATTATGTTGGATGGCAGTAGTGTTCTTAAAAGTAATTGGCTTAGAAAGCAAACAGCAACAAGAAGGCCATCATAAGACAGAAGAGACCCATAGCCTCTGAAAGGGCGAAACCCAAGATGGCGTATGAGAACAGCTGCTGCTTAAGGGAGGGGTTCCTGGCATAACCGATGATGAGAGAACCGAACACTGTTCCGATACCCGCACCTGCAATGATAAAAATGTATTAAAAATTCGGACATTAGAAAAATTATCAATTTTTTGAATATCAATTTACTAATCTACAGCACAGTAAATAACAGCTGAAGCAGTAACTAAACCTCATACAAACATGCAACAACAAGACCTCTAAAGACCAATAGAATGATCCACACAACATCAATGCAGTGTCAGAAATGTGGCTTAATCCTATTACATCAGGAACTAAAAAATGAATCTTTGCTTAAATTTTAAATTAACTTGTTCACATAATATGTCCTTGTCTGTGCCAGCATAAAAATTTTAGAGAGTACTAAAGATAGATACACTAATCAGCACCACATACACCAAAGACACCACGTCTTTGGTGTATATTCATAGAATTTAATAGTAAGAACTGACAGAGCTGTGGTAATTTGTCATACCTTGCTCAGTTGCTCCTGACCAATTACAGCTGCATGGGAATTGCCCTGGCCAGACTGATGTGTGTGTGTATTGACCTTAAGCAAGCTTTGTAATGCAGTTGGGCATGGATGCTGCATAAGGACTCTAGATCAGTGATTTTATTTTGAATTTATTGTGTATGTAATGTGACAAAGATTTTTTATACTGAAAACATTTCTGTATGTTACATAAAAATTTTATGGAAACACCCAGTTTTTATAATAACCCTTTTTTGTTACACCTTGTTAAAACCACATCAAGTATTTATTTAAATTTGGTCTTTTTTTAAAGATGTAAATGAAGAGAAGGCAATGTTTTTAAGTAAATGAAAACTTTTTCAATTTTACAATAATTAAAAAGTAAAAACCTCAAGACCTTCAGTGGAGCATAGGTAATAATCTCGAAAAAAATGGGGCTAGTTGAGATACTGCTTGTTATATATTAACTATCTATAGTAAATGTTAGTGATGCAAGTAGCAAAATTTTTACACATGTGATTATGTAACTCATACTTTAAAAAAAAAGAAGTACATAGTTTACAGGATCACCTTGCCATACCAAGAAGTCGGCACCATTTTAAAAATGAACAAAGTTAATTGTTAGTAGGGTAATAAATTATTATTAACAAAACTAAACTAGCACCACAAGTTTTAAATATCTAATTTTTGATGTTGGTTTTGTCTACCGCAAGACCTATATGTAATATTAATAATAGATTAATGCAGTTAAGACTAAAACAGGTCTAAATTTTATAAAAATTAATTGCTTTACATACACAAAAAAGTTAAAATTTTAATAGTGTTTAATGTTTTTATAAGTAACTTTTTAACAGGTTTTATGCAAAACTCTCACAGAAAATCAATAAAGATTGGAAAATAATAAAATTGATGCCTATACTGTAAAAGTATAATTTGGTCATTAAATCTAGACATTTTGATATTGTTATTAAATTATGCTTAGAATGAAAAGTAACTGACTTAAGTGATTTTGAATTTCCGTGTAGTTTGTGAAAGTGTACTTGAATTGCATCACTAACATATGTACAAAAGACAAAACTAGCTACTAAGTAATTAGAAACCACCTCACCCATGCATAGATCCATAAAAAGCAAACAAAATGTATACATTGTACATTTAAAACTAGAAAGCAAATAGCATCAAGAATGCTATCATTAAACAAAACAGGCCCATAGCTTCAGATAGTGCAAATCCCAATATAGCATAAGAAAATATTTGTTGCTTCAAAGAGGGATTTCGTGCATAGCCAATAATTAAGCATCCAAATACCACACCAATACCAATACCTGCAGGTGTAACACAAAGTTAGTGAATGGGGGGAATGTATCATCATCATCTCTTTAGCATGTTTGTGAATCTGCCATTTCATCAAAACATTTTTTTTAAATAATTCATTAATAATTTGGTTTTCCACCACATATCAAAGAAAATATGACTATGAATATACTGAATTCAACAAATCAAAATCTATCTTGAAACATGAATGTCCAAATTTTAGATATCAATTTATAAAATGACTAAGTATTTTTTTTTTAATTAAAGGCATGAAAAGCAAGATTCAAAGCTTTGCAATAGAGACAATGACATGTTTTACTGCAATGCAGGAAGTCTAATATAAAAATCAATATTTTTTCACCTTCCTGTTATGCAATCACAGTACAATTATATAAGCCTCTTAACACTTTCCCTGTCCACAATACAACAATAGTTACAACAATTAATGTGTTAATATATGACTCAGAATACAGGGAAGAGGTTAATAGTTTTGTTAAAAATAAAAACTATTGTACATATAATGCAGTGTTTTTAACAAACCACCACAAAAATGTTAATAAAATGATAAATTACTTTTATATTACTTTATTAAGGCGATTTAAAATGATAAGGTATATTATAAAAACAGTGTATGTAAAACACATGCAGTAAAATTAAGAGATCACTCACCAGAACCCGCTACTCCTACTGTCGCTGCACCAGCACCAATAAACTTAGCAGCAGAGTCAATATCTTTGGTCACAGATGTGGTTTGGAAGGTGCGGACAGCAGAAAGCTGAGCTGGTGCCGCTGGGACAATCTGTGACTGTGTGGGCACTACAGCAAGTGGCCTCACAAGAGCTGTGTTGCTGAAGATCTGTAAATGTGGAAATAATTTGAAAATTGTTATTATAGTATGTGACTGACATTGACAGTGATCACAGGTCAATAGTAAAATTAAAAAATAATCATGTTATATTTAATTCATAAATCTACTTAAATACTATTCACAATTCCATTACAATACATTACATAAAAAATTTAGGTTCACTGAGTTACATAATTGAGGATAGGTTAAAGATATAAACTATGATAAGTTGTATTGTAGTAGTAATAATATCAATAATGCTGCATAATTTAGTTTACTTTATCGATATAAATACGTTAATTACTTAATTCATTAAAATATATTACGTAAGTAAAATAGTATCTATGAAAAGTTAAGTCCTAGATAAAATTTCTCATAAATGAAGAAAATATTGTTACTTACAGCAGACCTGGCTGCAGGGGCAATCAATCTAGCAGCAGACAGCATTTTTGTTTTTATGGGGTGCGGCGAGCGACTTCTGAAAAATCGATGGACTAGATGAGAATTGTTATGTTCTTCCAGGCGGCTTGTAGTGTAAGACTTGACAGTTTGATAGACAATTCTGTAAACGTTACGTAATTGTAGGGACTACGTAACGGAGAATTAGGCCGTACTAAACTACATCTACAATATTTAATACGAATATTGATTTTCGTATCACAGAACACCAATTTTATATGAAAAAATACGCGAATAAAAGCGAGTAACGTAATCAGGAACGATATGGAAAATGGCCGATTCCGGGGCCTAACTTATATTTCAAAAGATTAGTGACAACTAACAATTTCGCCAAAAAATATTAGCACTATTACCCACGGAATGCCAAAACAGAGAGAATGAAGCACTTTTTATTCAAGGATTTCCTGCGATATTAACACTTTCCTACGATTAAATTTTTTCAATTTCTCGAGCGAGACTTACCAAAGAACACCGAAAAGGAGGAGACCGGCCTTTGGAATGTTCAATTTCTGAGTGGCGAATTGGAACAGAGTAAAAATTTCGTACTCCTATTGGTTGAAATGCGCAAGACGCACTAGTTCCGCTTAGAGCAGCCAACTATTGATTATTTTGTTGTAAGTGACAGCAGCTTTAGATACTTTTAATCTTAAAAATATAATGCTTTAAGAAATACAAAAAATAACATTCACTATTTAATTACTTGATTTTTTGTATGAGGTTCAGTTTGAGAAATTATGCAAAGATATTATTTTTAACATTATAAAATTACTGGTGGTTGCAATAGTATAGTTATACCATTGACTAGTGCTTTAATCGCCGTACGACATGGCCGTCTTCATGATAAACATCTGTAAATTTAATGGCTGTGGTATTACATTTCCACGACTAGCAGATTTAATTGAACACATCGAAGACGTGCACATTGGTAAATAATATTTATTTATTCAAATATCGGTTTTATTTGCGTATTTATTGCATATAAAATTTACTTTGACCCTCCCCTTTGTAGTATGGTAATGTCTTATCAATATGTCAAAGTTGTCAACATTGGATAATATTATCTCAAACACATTTAAATTTGTGCGCGAATCATAGTTGGTAGTAATTATAGTTAATTATTCTATATAATTTTTATTGTCCAAGCAACATTTTAGATATTCTTCTCTAAGAATCAACGTTATTTATCATATTATTATGAGGTATTGTTTATTTTCAAGTATAAAGCTATCATAAAATAATCTCTTCGAAAGTTAAAAGAAATGATTTCTTTGTAGATTATGATCCCGCAGTCATTGAACAAAAAGAAGCTTCTCAACCGGCATGTATTCCTTTGAGCTATGTGTTGCGATTTTTTACGGAAGCGTCAAGGCGGGAATTTCAAAGTTTACCACCAGCTGTTGATGTGCGCCGCCGATTACTTTCTGCACCAAAGACTCCATCAGTTCGTAGTAGCACACCTACAGGTAGGTAATAAAATCTAGTCTTTCCGTTTTCACTCACAATTAAGGGATACGTAGATGGTATGAAACTCTATGAAAGTTAGGATGGGATAGGACTTTGCCAGTCGTAGGCGACGGTATCTTAACCCTTTCCCTGCCGCATGAATCATATATGTCATTCAATTGTTTAACTATTGTGTCTATATCGCGGACAAGGAAGTGAGCTCCGACTACATGTATACAACTTGTCATTAATAATCGTGCACTGTATTGCCATCCTCTAGGCACTGAAAACAATTGTGTTATTTGAGTTGGAAGTTTTGGACGGAGCGTTGACTTCATTATTAGACGTGGCCTCTCCAACTGAACATTAAGGTTCAGTGTGACTCTTACAATTCGGTAATTGCTAGTCGCTACCAGTTTGATACTGCGATAGCAGTGGCTAAATTTTCGACTGCAACGTTGAAAGGCTACGGATTCGAATCCCGCATAGAATAAGTGTTTGTCCATCCTACAAATAATTGTTCCAGATCTCGATATTTGTACTTGTACAACATATGGGTGCTTACATAAAGAAACAGCTTTCCGGTACAGACAAATCTGTGCTGGTCGGTACCGATCGGTGCAGGGTTAACCTGCATAAAGAAACCGGTAAATCTGTCCTTATTGACAACCATGGCCTCCAGTTCGTCGGACAACAATTTTTTACTTTTCGAAAGTGTTTATTTTAAATTTAGAAAGAAAAGAACAGTTAGTGTCTCTAATATTAACAGGAAAAGAAAAAAAATTGGGTCATATTATCATTTATTTATAAAAGACATAAAGTTTGATGAACACAGGTTTTATGATTATACCAGGATGGCACATAAAACATTCAACTACATATTAAATAAAATACAACATCGCTTAATGTAACTGGCATGTTCAAATATCGAATACCAAGGCTATCAAACCTTTGTTATCCACATCCATTTTCATACACACACACCCTACACCGGCAAACGGTACAGGTAGTCGGTACCATAGAGTTATAATGTACTACATTATAACTGAATGGTCGGTACCGACAAGTTTAAACCTATAGAAATATTATTATACTAGCACCGATCTGTACCTACCACCACAGATTTGTCTGTACCGGAAATCTGTTTCTATGTACCCTATCTATGTAAAGTGATACAGGAGTAAGGCCCGCCACATACATACGTAATTCCGTTTTGAGATTCCGTTTCGTAATTCCGAACGGGTCGGCCACACACATACGGAATCCCGTTTGGCCAGCAAAATTTCGAACGGAAAACTACCGTACCTGTGTGACGGGTCATAGATTTTATATGGACTTGCTGCGTTCGGGATTCCGAATCGGAATATCGAAACGGAATCCCGAAACGGAATTCCATATGTATGTGGCGAGCCTAAAACCTAGTGTTACGTCATGGCGCGTCTCCACCAAAGTTTTGTTCTCAACACAACATTTGCCAACAAATGTTTCTGTCAACAAGCGTCTCCACCGAGGGAACAAAAATGTCGGCAACAAGCGTATTCCTTTGATGTTGCCGCCGAAAATCGAAACAAGTTTTGTTGGCAAATGTTGTGTTGACAACAAAACTATGGTGGAGACGCGGCTTTAGAGTATAAAAAAATAAATAATTAAATAAATAAAGTTTTCACTCTCGTGATCATTGAGATACAGAAACAGAAACAGAAATATCACTGAACTAAAGATGTCGTCTGGTCGGTATAACGAATTCATTCTCGTTTTTGTTGAACGGTCGGGGCTGAACCAGGAAAATTTTCTATGAGGCCTTTTCTGGATGAAAGAGTTCATCATGAAAAGTTTCTCCTTCTCTATGAAGTCAGACAGCTATTGACCCCTTGGATTCCGTTGCCCTATTCCAAATTTTCCCTGCCTACAGCTCTTCGTCATATTTGTGTCTAGATTAGCATTGAAGGCTCCCATCAACGAAGCATAGTGCGGTTTAGAAGGAATCATGGCTCTAAACATAATTATCCTCATACATCGCCTGCACTTTCTCATCTAGATGTGCGAAAGTTAGTGTGTAAACCTTTATCATTATCATTACAGCCCTTCACAAGCCCACTGCTGAACATAGGCCTCCCAAAGGAATGCCACAAATCACGATCCTGAGCGACCTGCATCCAACGACTTCCTGCATGTCCTACCAGGTGGTCACTCCATCTAGTGGGAGGTAGCCCTACACTTCGCCTACCGGTAAGAGGCTACCACTCGAGAACCTTTTTTCCCTATCGGATGTCGGTTCTCCGATCTATATGGCCGGCCCATTGCTACTTCAGCTTACTAATCCGTTGGGCTATGTCGGTCACTCTGGTTCTACTGTGGATATCCTCATTTCTAAGTTTATCACGCAGAGAAAACCCGAGCCCTCTCCATAGCACAACCGCATGGTGTGTAAACCTGTATAGTCTTGAACAAATACCATTTCGTGATTCTGAGTGTAAGGTACGCAGCTAGGGTTGCAAACTCTATACTATACTAATCTACTGAGTGGGATTGGTGGCAAGCTGCACACTTTCTTTAATTTGACTGAAAATGTTGGGATCTGCAAGATGGATTTAGAAAGGGAATGGGGTGCACGGATCAGGTCTTTTCTATGTGCACAATCACTTAGAAGTTTTTAGATACAAACCAGAAAGATTTCTGTGTATTTTTAGACTTGGAAAATGCCTTTATTGAAGTGGATAACGTTGCTTAAATGCAAACTCTGGTCTCGTTTGGGTTCTAACGCTAGGCTGGTTCAGGCATTAGGATCTCATTATAGGGAATCTAGTGTTTCTGTCAGGATCAACGGGACCTACACAGACTGGTTTGGTATCCATAGGCTTGTATAGCTTCCCCGTGGCTGTTCAATCTATTTATGGACAGTTGTTTGGAAACTTTGAATATCGAAGAATGCTAATGATGGTTATTTTAATGTACTATAATTAATAGAACGCGGAATGAAAGTGAACGCAACTAAAGCCGCAATTCCACCAAAGTTTTGTTGCCAACATAACAGTTGCCAACACGTGTTGCCAACAATTTCTGTAATCACCTAGTGTTGGCAACAAAACTTGAAACAATATCGGAAACTGTGTTTCCATTTTCGGCGGCAACATCAAAGGAATACGCTTTTTGCAAACATTCGTTCCCTCGGTGGAGACGCTTCTTGAAACATTTTCGGAAACAAATTTTGTTGATTTGTCAACAGTTGGAAACATAAATGTTGTCAACATTTTTGGTGGAGACGCGGCTTTAGATGTACGCAACAAGTTTCGTGATGAAAGAGACAAGTGACAAGCGCGTTTAGCGGGTATGGTAGACATAACAAGGATATAGTACAAACAGTGAATACGGATATAGAGTAATGGGGCTCTTCACTCTTTTCTCTATTACCTGCGTGCATGTAGTACCTAGTCCTTCGATACTTTTTAATCTTTTAATAGGTTGAATTCAAGTTGAACTAAAAAACTAAAGATCTTGTCTTTATTGCACAACAAATATACCTAATACCTATGTATCTCTGCTTT